TTTTTGCATGGCTATATGCAAAAAAGTGTTGGCTAGCGATCTGCGAAAACCGGAGATCGATATCTCTTTCTATGGGGGATTTATTCAAAATTTAGTCAAGGACATTGCTTTTTGAAAACGATAATAGTCGAACTTCGTCATCTTTGAAAAGTTTACTGCCTCAGATTGATACATGAAACATTGTCTTTTTTCGGGACAAGCTTGGCTCTCAAACTTTTTGCAGGGATTTCGACTAGAACAACACAGATTTTCGATATTTTTTCGAAGAAAAATGAGACTTATTGTGTAAAGAGTGTTTAGAAGCGTCTTTTGATCTCTTTGGAAGCAGAAACGTTCCGAAACTGGAAGAAAATTTTTGAATTTTGCGTCAGTTCGGATCAGAAAAACTCTTTCTTGAATCGAGTAGGGTATTTTAATGGGACGACGCCTTGGGTCATGGTAGAACGCGATACTTCTTTTTTACAAACCATTTCATCATATTATTACAGATGTGGCATGGGTTTTCCTACAGAAAAAAATAGTACGTTTTTTTTTAAATTCCTTTTGATGAACCTAAAAGAGGTTACCTTATTTTCTCAACAACATTGTTGGATAGAGCTTTGGTGGATACTCATGTAGTGAAAACTTGAAAACTGCATTTGGAAAGGAAAAAATGAATACTGAGAAGTAGGATCGAATCTGGTATATAATTCGAGTTTATTGAAAGCCTAATGTTTTATGAGTGTAGCGTTTCACTGCATGTATTTGAAGGCGTATGTGATTGCGACGCTGAATTTTATTGGAATGATGACCGATGTTCATTGCAACGCATAGTAGATCAGCCGTGTGTCACGTCAGTGATGTGTGCTTCCAATATGACATGCTTAAATCATCGATGCTACTGTAATTTATCCACGTCTTATATTAATCCAACCACAAATGCGTGTTTATTTCGTAAAGGATTTCGTCAGCTGTGTAAGGCCCATAATGAATGTGTAACAACATTGAGCTGTGTCCGTCTCAATGGTGTGTCAACTGAAGAAGCCTCATGCGGTTGCACAGCCCTCAATTTCTACTCGAAACACACTGATCAGTGCCATCCGTGTGATAAACGTTTGAATCAATCCATATTAGTTTGTGAGAATAAAACTTTCATCTCATGATGGTACACTATTAATTTTCCCAACGAAGATCGTTGTATTTTCACTCGACAAGTACCCACAGGAGGATACTACAATCAGTCTGTGTGTCCAAGTCCTCGTGATGCCGGTATGCCACTGTCACAATTCTTTAATCGGACTGCACGATTTCCCATTATACACAATTCAGAAGAACTCTTATCTATTGCTTCGTCAAACATACCATCGACTTATTTCAATTACTATTTAGATAAAGATCCAGGCTCTGCTTATTTTACCGATGGCATGCCAGTACATCTAAATTTTCCAGGTTTATCTTACTCCTATTGTCTAGCTGTTCGATTGTACCCACTGTCGCCAGATGTAACAGCTAAAATAATCGCACCATTGTCGTGCGACAGTACATCGTGTCGAACGTACATTTGCGATTATGGTGCCGTTTAGAAAGAGCTAGTTTAGTCAGACTCATTAAATTCAGGTGAATAGAAGGACTCTGCTATATTTTGATAAATAGCCTGTTTACCGTTCTGCGTGGGTGAATCATACTTTCAATATGCTTTTTATCACAGCCCCAAAATTAAGATTATAATTGAGAAGAAAATTGAAAAGACTTATGAAAACTGATTTCGCAGCGAATGATCTCTTTCATCCGTTCAGCTATCTTGCGTTATGTTTCAGTCAGAAAAGCATGACAAGCTAAATAAAATGTAGCCTGAAGTTTTTCTGACTTTTCTTTGTGAATAAAAAAACTGACTATTTAAACTTGAATCAAACCTCAAATTGCTGCACAGTAACTAAAACTTTTAGATTTTCAAATAGCTGTTACACACAAAGGAGTAATTGAGACGGGAGATCTACCCGTATCGACCGCAGCCATGAATGGGCATGGGCAGGCTCGAAAAAACGGCACAGGGACACGGGCAGGCAACCGTCAGTTTGAAATAATGGTTTTTCGTTACCTCTGCCAGTCTCTCCTGATGACACTTATAAACCTTCCGTTCACATTTATACAAATTCCATTTCATACCGGCTAGTTACTGAAATAGACTCATCGCTTCAACTTTCGATGATATTTCTATTGTGACATCTCCTCTTTTATTGCAATTAACTTGTCCGTCTTGCTGAACTGAACAATATTGCGATAAACTTCTATTGGCAGTTTCTGCGATGAAAAAATATACAGCTTGTTATCGCGATAATAGGTCAGAAAAGGACATGGCACCATCGATATCGTAATAAAATTACAAAAAGAAACTACATGGAAACTGATAGTGCAAATAAGCCACATTTTTACTCGAAATACCTTATTTCCGTAAATTTTCTGAAGATGTGTAGAGAAAAAAGCTTGAGGTAAAAGACCCGGAAGGCTATGGGATTTAGAATGTAAAGAAGGCGAAAGAAGCTTCCGTTGAATGGTAGGTCATGTAGATTAAAAAACTTAAAGCCCTGTTAAAGACCGTTTTAGGGAACAGCGTCTGTGTACATAGTCGCACTGGAGAATTTGCTACGCTTGACAAGCAAGTCCATTCCTTTGTTGATAACTGAGCGCAGAATTTTCATGGCTTTATAAAATATATCACGTATATGCGGCGTTACACGTTGGATCAACGCACTTCTAGCAGGTGGGAGTAAATGAGAGAGACAATCGTTATGAAGCGCTTCATTCGCCGTATGTCTTTTTTTGACAGTTAAAATCTTTTCCAGACATCTGCGTATGTCCCATAGTCCCATAGTTTGTGTTTTACTTCATTATCGTCCAAATAAATTACGACCGCTTTTATGTACCACTCTTCTCCGAGTCACCTTTTGGACTCGGATTCTCCACTATCAGTTTTCACGATATATTACACTATATTTAGCAGTGGACATCAAACACCTCTTTCAACCTACATGACCTACCATTCAACTCAAGCTTCTTTCGCCTTCTTTACATTCTAAATCCCATAGCCTTCCGGGTCTTTTACCTCAAGCTTTTCTCTCTATACATCTTCAGAAAATTTACGGAAATAAGGTATTTCAGTAAAAATGTGGTTTATTTGCGCTATCAGTTTCCGTGTAGTTTCTTTTTGTAATTTCAAGAACATATATAGATCAAAAAGGTTATGGTAATTTTCATAAACATTTGACACGACGTGGTGCTAAAGAATATGAACAAAACTTGAAAAGTACTGCAAATAGTCAATCCGAATTGGAGAGTGACACTGATAGTCAATATATGAAGTATAAACAGGAAGAAATAAACGAAGCTATAACCACGAATCTGATTATCAAATGTAATTTACCAGCAGCTATAGTAGAACATCAAGGTTTTCGAAACTTTATGAGTTTACTAGCACCAAAATGGAAGCCAACATCAGCGAGAAATATCAAACAAAAAATGATACCAGCTTTGTTGTTGACCGTACAAAAGTGTATCAGTGAAATGTTAAAAGAAGTAAAATACTTTACAGTGGATGTCTGGATTGATGTGGACAATCAACGTGGACGAGCGTTTATGGGCATAACGGGTCATTATATAGACAGTGTTTATAAACCTCAGGCTTTATTACTTGATATTGTTCGACTGCAAGGGTCACACTCAGCTGAACATATTCGAAATACGACGAAGCAAATACTGGATCGCCTTAGTATCAATCACAAAGTTTATAAAATCATTACTGATAATGGTTCATCAATGATTAAAGCATATAAATTTGGTCTATCTGTGAACGATCAGGATTTCGAAGATGAGGAAGCGAACGATGAAGGCTCAATGGATGTTGATGAGCAGGTAGGTTATTAGGTATGATATATTTCTTTCGAAAGACAGTTGATAGGTCTCTCCCCTCAGATTTCGTATTCAATATCAGTCTACAATATTTCTCTAATTTATTCACGCTATTTTTGAATATTTTAGAAATCAATAATCTCATGGAAATTAATTGATTGGCATGATAGAGAAGAGGATGGTGTGGATTACGAAAAAGGGAAACGATTATCATGCTCTGCACATATCTTACAGTTAACTATACGAGACGGATTGAGAAACGTACCCCACATATCAAAGACATTGGCGAAATGCAAAGTGTTGACTCGAAAGTCACATAAATCTAGAAAACTTAAAGAAATGCTGGAAGAGGTAGATAAAATGATAGCCAGATCGTGTGTCACACGTTGGAGTTCACGTTTTAGACTTTTCTGGCTTCAACAGATGAAATACAAACCGACTGACTAGTCAAAAGTGAAACAGTTGTTGATTAAATTAGTGCTAGATGAATGTGAGCGAGAAACAGCTCATTTTCGGTCGAGTTTCGCATCTGTCGTAACACAATCTAAAGGTACACAAACAATCAAGAAAAGCAAACTATTTCAGTACATCAATACTACTCCGTCTGATACTACCCAAGAACTAGATCCTGCTGCAGAACTTACTGCTTATTTAACAGATCCGATACAATCGCAACTTTCACCGTTTTGGTCAAAAACGTCATTGCCTGTGCTAAAACGAGTGGTTATACGCGTTCTCTCAATTCAAGCTTCATCCGCACCCATAGAACGAGTTTTTAGTCAAGCGGGACTGATAATGTCAATGCGCGAAGATTTATTCAGAAATTTGATTCTTTTACAAGCAAATCAATATATCTTATAGTGCACGTATTTATTATCCCTATGTTTTTTATTTTAAATTTAAATTTTCACCATGAAAATCTAACTCTAATTTGTTTGAGGGTGAGGGGATTGAGTTCAGATCATAATCAGCGCGAAAAACTGCGTCTAATGATGTATTTCTAACTTTTGTTTGGTAAAAACAAAAATTCAACCTTCTGATCCGAAGGATGGGCGTTAGCTGTCCACGCCCTGTGCTCGTTTCATCCTTATTGATAATAGTAACAATTAAAGGACTGATAGAGATATAATGTACTTATTTTTACTTTTCCTGATAATTACCTAACATAACGAATGGGTGTGGTCGTATATATGTATATATTAATGACGAAACAAGAGATAACTGTCAGAACAGTATTTACCTGTGCAGTAGAACGACAGTTGTACATTATTACGTTAAAAGGAAAATAATATGCACCAAGTAACACTATACGTCATTTTTATCATAATGACACATGTTGCATGCAAAATCAACATTCAACAACGACCAAATATCATTATGGTATTAGCTGATGATTTGGGTTATTGTGAAGTGGAACCTTATCCTTGTTTAGTGCCAGAAGGACACAATCAGCCTCCCATTTCAACACCGAACTTGGTCAGATTTGCCGAAGAAGGTTTGAAATTCACTAACAGCTACGCGGGTGCTCCGGTATGTGCTCCATCGAGATGTACTTTAATGACTGGAAAACATTCTGGACATGCAACAGTGAGAGGCAATAAAGGTTTCGATGGTGGTGATTGGCCATTGAAACCGAGTGATATAACTCCTGCCGATGTTCTAAAATCTGTAGGGTATTATACAGCCATTATTGGAAAATGGGGTTTAGGCAATCTTGGCACAACCGGTTGGGTGAGAAAGCATGGTTTCGATTATTTTTACGGTATAAGTGATCAGGCACAAGCTCATGATTATTATCCGAATTATGTAATGGAGAATGAAAATCAAATACCGTTACCGTTAAATCAAGATGCTTCACGAATAAAATGCATGAGCCAACCATCAACATGCAATTACAGTCACGATTTATTCACTAATAAAGCATTTGAACTAATTGAAAGTCGAGCAAAAAATCATCCAGAGCAGCCATTTTTCTTATATTTAGCTTGGACATTGCCTCATGCCGGTGGATGGAGAGGAGTCGTCGAAGATGGCGAACCTGTGCCGAGTGATGGACAGTTCAGCGATACCATCTGGCCGGATGTTGAACAAGATCATGCAGCCATGATCAGTTCCTATTTAGACAGAGATTTTGGACGATTAATGGCATTACTGCTTGAACTAGAAATTGATCACAACACATTGGTATGGTTTGCGTCAGATAATGGCGCTCATAACGAAGGTGGTCACTCGTATACATTTTTTAATAGTTCAGGACCACTCAGAGGTTACAAACGATCGTTGTATGAGGGAGGAATTCGTACACCTCAAATCATTCGATGGCCAAATATGATTAGTCCGAACACGCAAACAAATTTCACTACAACATTCGCCGATTTTCTTCTTACTGTAGCTGAATTAGGGGGTGTACAATTCTTACCGAGTGATATTGATGGTATTTCAATTGTTCCAACGTTATTAAACAACAGCTTTGCTCAGCATGAACACAATTATATTTACTTTGAATTTTGTAATAATAGTGAATGGGGCAACGCTGTTCGATATAAACAATGGAAAATAGTTCGTTTTGATGTAGATGACCCTTATCAGTTGTTTGATTTAGACAATGACATTGGCGAAAAATATGATTTATCTCTACAGTATCCACAACTTGTTAACGAACTCGTCATATTTGCAGCAGAAGCTCATACAAATTCCATACCATTTCCAATTCAAAATTGTGCAGATAGTAGTTTACATTAACTTCGCCAAAAAAATTACAAAATGTTCATAATAATAAACCATAGTAAACAAGTATACATAACTAATCATTTTGAGTATAAATAAACTTTTTAATGGACTCAATAAACAGAGGATCACGTGTCTCCTACATAAAAAGTATTTGCTTTAATTTTGCATATATTGTTGAATTATTTAAAAGATGATTGGTTCAATAGAACGTTTTATCAGATGTCATAATTTCAATATCTAATTTTAGTCATTTTTACAATATTTTAATATTATCCAATATTTTTTTTCAATATTACTGCCTTCTGTGAAGAGAACGAGTATCGATAGGATGGTGACATCAATTTGTATTTGACAACAGTTCCACAAGCATTCATTATAGACAATTACGGGAAACATATGAATTGAGAATGAATCATATCGTTCAGTTACGTCCTGCGAAAGAAGGAGATAGAAATAATATTTGCTGTTGTGATTTCTCATTTCGATAAAAATCATATCAATCACATCGCCCACAATACACTTTTTAAACTGGGATTACGCCAATATCTCAGACTCTAAAACTTTTCACGACGGATGGCAGTGTTTTATAGGCACCTTAATACCTTTATTGCTTTCTCAGTAACTGGATTTCGATGTAAAAGTTATGTTTTATGTAAAGTTACTTTGTTTCAAATGTAAACAATTTACTGCTGTTACCGCAATAAAAAGCAATCAAACTCGTCACTCCATTTTTCGTTTGATTCAACTGAATTCAAGGATTAAAAAAACCGATTCTGTTTTTGTCATCATGCGAAAAATATCCTTCATCTTTGATTCTGCCTATCTCTGACCGAATAATCTTTCGGTCAGAGATAGGCAGAATCAAAGATTATTCATTGGATTAAACCATTAACAGAACGTTTAGTCCAGAGTATTATCTTGCTGATGTGTTTATTCAGCTAACAACTTGTTCCCCGGTAATTTTTTTGGCTATGATGAATAATTTCCAAATTTTTTGCGCTGATCTCTGGAGGATTTCTAAGTGGATCTCTGGAACACCAGTTTATAGCTCCAAAGTTTTACATAGGAATCTATCAGTTTCTTTTCATATATGGATAGTCAAAGGTGTTCTCTACAAAATCAGGTCCAAGAGATATCTCGAAAATTCATGGTTCGGGAGCTACGGGCATTTTCCTTGAAGCCTTAGAACTCCTCTGCCGTTAGTTTTGAGACTGTCATAAATAAATGAAAACATAGGTTACCGACTATGCTTAATCTCGTGGCAATATTTGTTTTATTAAACAGTTTCAAAAACTTAGTGAAAACGTACATTAGGTGGAATATCCCATTTCTGTCTATTATTGAGTAAAATTCAAAATTCATAACTCAATCAAGATCAATCCAAGTTATGTCAGAATATCAAAATGTATTCTATTTTACCTGCTCCAAACGATTTTTTACTTGAGAATAGCAAAAACATTCTTGTACTTCAGAAGACTTCTAGAAAATCCTTTCAAAAATCAGAGTATTTTCTGCCGACTTTTAACGCTTCTGTTAAACTGCATAGTATTGTCTCACTTTACTCCCATTTTGAAGAGGACAGCTATCAGTCCATGAGAAAAAAGCAATACAATGTTATTGGAAAATGTTTACAGTCGGCATAGTTTTCCAAAGATCGCTTAGAAAACCTGTTTCAGAAAACTATTATGAAAACAATTTTCGTTATGGAAATATGCCCTCAAGTTTCCTCTTTCCACTGGTGAGTCAAAAACGTGAATGAATACCTCACACAACAAGAGAGAGAGAGATGAATTATGGTTGGAAGAGAGTGGAAGAATAGGTCATATTTCGTTACACACTCGGAGTCATTGTTATTACAGGTCGGTGACCTTTGATGACTCTCACTTTTCGTGAATAAACAAT